CAAGTTGCAAAAACCGCTATGTAGACAACGTTTTAGAATCGCCTAATTTCTATAAACTATCCTTTAATGGAATCGTAACTACGAATTTTCCATTTTTATCGCGCTTTATGGTTTTTTTGAAGCAATCTTCGCATTGTTGCTCCTCGCAGGACAATATATTGGTTTTATTTTGAATATCTTCAATTTCCCAAAACTTAGCCAGTAATTCGTTCGTATCGGAAGTATGACTAAAATGACAAACCGATTTATTATTTTCATACGGTACATTAAAAGGACCTGCTACAATCCAACCCAATTTTGTACTTTGGAGAAATGGTAAATTTTTCCCTATCGCAATTTGTTCAAACTCTATTAAACTCCAAAATACATCAGCACCTAACAATATATCAACTGGAGATGAACTGTGAAACATTGGATCAGCTAGTTTAATATGGTCTGGTATTTTAAATATGCACCGGTTTAGGGTTTGTTCGGGTAAACGACTATTAATGGTATCAATCACGAAGCAAGAAACGTTAAATTCATAATCGCTATAAATTGACTGTAATTTTAATTCGCATTTATATTTCGCATATGATAATGATTGATTTAGACCATTTACAGCTAAATTCGTTTCGATTTTTTGTATATTTAATTTGGCACATAGATCTGTGGTCATAAAACTTGACTGAGATCCACAATCAAGTAAAGCACGTGCTGTAGTGTTTGAATTTGATACGCGTAACATGACAGTAGAAAGAATTGCACTTCGATTTGTAACGTCATTTTCAGCAGCTACCGCACAAGTAGTTGATTGTGTACCTCCAGTTAATTCCTCATTTTTGATATTAGTAGTATCACTATTATCAGTAATGAGGAAAGAGTTTTGAGCAACCCTCTCACGATCTATGTGTAAAACACTGTTATGCTTCTCTTGACAAATTTTGCACCCGCCAAATCTACAGTCTTTAGTTACATGATTAGTACGCAAGCAATTCTCACAAAGATTAAGTTGTTTAACCTTTAATTTTCTATCTTTCACCGATAACGATAAAAAGTCTGGACAAAAACATATTAAGTGGTCCCTTTTACAAAGGCAGCACTTACACGATTGTGATTGATATGATTTTAATGTTTGCATATGACTTGAACCTGCCAAATGTGAATATTTCAACCCGTCACGGGGTTTGACTATATTCATTGGTTGATCTGGGTTGTCAGCTTCAACCTCTTCAAAAAAAATCTGCTCTGTACCTTATAAAATCTATTATATCTTTCGTAACGGCTCGTCCCGTTAAATTGGTTTTATATCGTTTCCATTCGTTAAGAGACTGTACATCGAGTTTCTTAACGATTGTATAAATAATTAATGAATCCCAGTGGTTAATAGGTTCTCCTAACTGTTTTAAACATTCCAGATTATTGCTTATCGTATCAGCAAGATCGGATAGTTTAGAAGAGTTAGGTTTTGCAATAGTTTCGTATTCAAAAATGATTTTAATATGATTCGATATTAGTTTTTCGCAATTGTTAAATTTTTCACAAAGTGTGAGCCATGCTGTTTCATAATATCTTTCCCCAAATTGAATCGCTCTAATTGTCTGAGCTGCTTTCCCCTTTAGACTCTCCCGTAGATAATGAAACTTTCGTATATTGCCCAGGTTTATATTATTATGAACAAGTGCATTGAATTTATCTCTAAATTCAATCCATTTTTCATATGAGCCATCAAATTGAGGTAACGGTATTGTAGGAAGTAAAATGTCTGGACTTCTGATGTCGTTTATATCTTTCTTATTAGACGAACAAGTTAATTGTTTTTTAAATGTTGCAATTAATAGTTTCGCTTTAGATGTGACTTTATAGAACTGATCCTCAAATTCATCAAAAATTCGTTTTTGTTCCAGTTTTAATACATCATCGTCTAAACGATCATTTAATTTTTCAACAATATCATCTAAAGTATCTAATGACTTCTCAATTCTATAAAGTCGCGTTTCCGTTTCTATTATTATACCTTCTGCATCCTTATCCAAAATACCAGAATCTTTGACAATTGTGTCAATCGATTTAAGAAAATTGTCAAACGTTTTCAAAGACTCTTGTATTTTAGATCTTTTCCTTAATATTTTCTCGACCTCGGTCATTATTAAGAGCGTTTACCACCTTAAAAGACAAAAAATGATAGTTAACTTATCTGAAAATCGAATCAGTATGATCTTTGACCAGGATTTTTGACCCAGCTCCTTTCCGTAACTTCGTATCGCTTTGTTTCGCTTAACCCTCGACGTATATTTCGCTTTTTCGTATCCGGGCTCGTACAGGACCAAATGGAACGGATTGATAGTTTGGCTTTTTTGAAAAGACGTTTATTTTTAGTATTACAAATTCGAATAATTAACAACTCATGTTACCATGAAAACATAATAATATAATTATATACAGGGTAAATCTAAACAATTATAATTTGTTCATGTATGTGAAATTTGCTTCTGAGGTTTATAAAATACTACAGAAAAATACTTCCATTCCATCATCTAAAATGAAGTTAGGTTAGAATTATGATGTACATATAATGGGGAAAATATCCAATCAATCGCCCGCACGGAAAGCCAGAAAATAGCGATGTAAACAAAAACATAACCCTGTATTTTATTCAAATCCAAATCGTTGCGGTTTGCGGCCCACACATAAGTGGGCGCTAACGATAACGCCCGGGCAGAGTTGTAAAAAAGCTATGTCATTTATAGTTTATCAACATTGTCCAATTTAAGCGTATGTTTACGTTATTGGTCGGTTATTATCAATTATGCCCAATCAAATAGGAGATTTACGACAATGACCGGCCAATATCGTTAAAGACCGAAATATCATCTTTGACCGTAACATATACATATAATACACAAGAGGGGATTTAACATTACATATAATTGAAGTATATAAATAAATCATTCAAAAGACCATCTCTTAAATTTATTTTAGCAGCGCACTTTTATAAAGTTGAAATCCCCAGTAAGGGATGTAATTTTTACTAAAAACTTCCTGTAACAGATCCTTTTTTAAAAAATATATGTTCTTTTAGTAAAGCCCTTTGACTTTTTTGCTCTCGGTTGTTTTTAATGTTTGTAAGAAACCATCTCATCTGCTTTTAAATGTAGGTTGGACAACGCTGCAAATAATTTAATAATAGTAAATTAAATTTGCAGAATAATTAGTCTAAAATCTTACCATTAGTCTTTAATTTCAGTTTAGGCTCAGTCCCTTCATTTCTTTTAACGCTTTTTGTGTGTAAAAAGTAAAAATTACCAACAGCAAAACTATGGCTCGCTTTGACAAAATTTCAAAATATTTCGGGATATAAACAAAATGTGATCTGTATTCAGCTCGGAGGCGGTACCCTAATCCAAAATGTTTAAAACAAACCATTCACACAATAATATTTCTCTTTATAATTCAAATATAAAGTAATTTATTTGAAATTTGATGGAAATCATTATATAATTTTTCCATGCCGTTTTGTAGCTTGTCTTTCAAAAAATCAAACTACGGATTTTATAAAAACTCCAACACAGGTATATAGTTCAAAAATAAAAATATAAAAACCACTAAATATTAATAAAATATTAGAATATTTCCTGTCAGCTTGATTTTTCATTCCGTGACGTCACTGCGTGCTTAACAACCGTGATGAGGCCACCGTGTTGTCTACCAACCGTGTACCTGGCTATTATTATCGATCACAACCATCTCGGTTATGATAAATTGGAAATAATATCATTTCAATATTTTTTTTTTAATATTTATAAGCACATTCGAATAAAAATTAATGTATGAAACACGGACGAAAAGTGTATTAACGGACCCCTCGTAGTCGCCCGAAAAACTCACCTTTTCGTCTTTATGGCATAAACTACTATTATGGTCTTATATATAAAGGGTGGTCCATATAGTGGTTTCTTTTTAAAAATTAAAAAAAAATCAATTTTGTTCGATAAATTATTGGTTTATTCGAAAGAGCAAACATTTCCATTATTTATGGAACACGATTTCATTCATGTGGCTGCCTCGGCTGGCTTCGCAGTAGCGCATCCAGTTAACCAAATTTTCCAAGACATTGGTAATGGTTTCTAGCTGTATCTCACGAATCGCTTGCTCGATATTCGCCTTAAGAGCCTGAATTGTTAATGGATTGTTCGCATAACATCGGTCCTTCACGGCATCCCACAAAAAAATCTAAAGGTGTCAAATCGCAGCTGCGAGGTGGCCAATTGACATTGCCGAGACAGCTGATAACAAGATTACCGAACTTGGTGCGCAAAAGATCTATTGTGGCATGGGCTGTGTGACATGGCGCGCCATCCTGCTAAAACTAAAGATCGTCCAAGCTCATGTCTTCAATTTCCGGCTACAAAAAATCGTTCCATCATGCCTGTATAGCACTCACCGTTGCCCGAAATGGCGTCTTCAGCAGGATTTTCAAAGAAAAATGGGCAAATGATGCCACCGCTCCACAATCTGCACCAAACTGTCACTCTCTGAGGATGCAATGGCTTCTCGATGATCATGTGCGCGTTTTCCGATCCTCAGATGCGGAAGGTTTGGTTGCTAACAAAGCCGCCGAGATCAAAATACGCCTCGCCAATCAAAATCGTTCGAGCTGCTCTAAGGCCCAAACCGATAACGTATCGGATGGTCGTGTATCTTCAAATGCCGAGTCAACTGGACGTTTTTATCAACTTAGAGAGGGAACAATCTTTCATTGTCAAAATAACATAATATGATTAAAAAAACCACTAAATGGACCACCCTTTACAATAAACGAATTTTTAATAATGATTATGGTCGAATTTCGACCACTGGGCGAACATTAGCTAATATAAATTTACAAGTTCTGCGCTATATAAATGTTTCAATGACTTCAAAAAGTTACACAGAATGAAATGTGTCAATTTGCCATGGCCAACTCGGTGTTAAATAAAAAATTAATGGACAATATGTACTACACTTAAAATTATTCTTACCTGCAATAGAGCAACATGAGGACTCTGAAATTCGCTCCTAGTCGCCTCGGTAATCCCCTTGATCTGCTTATCCAAAACATCTCCCAAATCCAAAATATTAATCCTTCTACAATTAAATCCCAATTCGTGCAACAATTCTTTGGGCGAATGTAATCCAACTCCTTCCCACATTTCGATAAGACTGTCCGTATTGATCATTCCGTTCCCGTCGGGACCTAAAGTCACCAAATGAAAAGTACGTGAGTCGGGAAAGAGACCTTCGTTTGTAGTTTGAATGATGGTCTCATCGTTAGCAGGTAACGGCTGGTTTAGTACCTCGAACCACGTATCATCTTGTTGCAGAATGGTTAATAGCTCTTGAAAACTGATTTTATGATCGTGGTTTAACGTTAGTTTATCAGATAGCTGTCTTATCACTCCGTCAGCTAGTTTATGTAGACCTATAGCGTCACAAACTAAAATCAACTCAGTTTGGTTTAAGAAACCGTCTTCCCCTACACCCAGCTTTTTCCAAGCTTCGCGAAGCATTTCTTCCGTACAAACTAGTTCTGATTCGTTGGAGATTTTATTATCGGGGTTGGTTATATGTAAGTCATTATTGGTCGGCAAGGAAATGCAGCGTTGAAGTCTATAATTGGTTTTTCTCTTCTTAGAAGATACTTCTGTATTCGAATTGGATCTCTGAACGGATACATTGTTTTGATTTTTATTAGCATTGTCTGCGTTAATATTGTTAATATCGTCATTCCTAGGTCTTGATCTTCTACCGTACTTTTTAGACCCGTAAACGAATTTTGGCGAGACTTCCCTGTCGGGCGAGGATTTTTCTTCATTCAGTTCCTCATTTTTCGTAGTTTTATTATTTTGCATGTTTCCTAATAGAGCCAAGAGAGCATCTTTGAATTCAGTGAAATTAACTCGAGATATCTTGTCATTTAGAAGGCATTTGACTAGATCGACGCCGTGTTCTTCGAGTTGAAGCGTTAGGCAGAGTTGTGTTAGACCTTCTAAATCTAGACTGCCGCAACTGTCACGATCGTGGCTGTTGAAGACTTTCAGTAACTGCTGTTCGTATGGATCCAAGGCGTAATCGTCCATCGTTTAATCTGTAACAAAATAATATTTACGGTTTTGAAAATTAATTTTAAATGTTTTAAGCTGGTAATCTACCTACAAAGCTTGTTCTTTTGAATCTGTTACGTGTGAACTCAATAGTTCCGTTTGGAATGTACAATATGGGCCATTGTATGCAGAATTCGCCCGGTTCGAAGTCGCAGAGGGTCTGTTATTTAAAATTGGAAAATACAGGTAATCAGTAGAAAATACAATATTTTTATTAATATTGTATTGAATTAGTTAATTAATTAATTTAAGAGTTAAACTAAAAGTACAAGCTAAAAATATTTAAAAAATGGAAAACAAAATATAAAATGGTTCTTTCTAAATCTTTTGCTCAAACACATTTTTTCAGCTTCATGTGAAATAATACAATTTTTATATAATGTGATATTAAATATCACAAATTCAAAATTACATATATTATTATAAGGGGTATCTATACCATGTGGAGGGTGGGTTACCTCTTGGCACTTAGGCCTCCTAGGCCAATTGTGCATCCTCCTAAGTTGATAAGCATCCTAGCTCGTAAACCAACCTACAGATTAAATGTAGTTGACAACGTCGCCAAGAGGCGGCGGTTCTTTTATATCGGCCGATGTTAGCCGATTCTCGCCGAACACAAATCTTCTAATAAATGAGAGCGTCGGCAATCGTAGAGGATATTCTCGATGTTATCTTATTCTTGTTCGCATCCCCTGCAAAGTGCGTATTCTGGCAGCCCCATGATATGGAGATGCTTCCGTACTTGGTAATGACCAGTCATGCCTGTAATGAGGCGCAGATTCTGTCTAGTCATAGTCAAGTATTTGTTTGCTGTAAAGTTGTCATAACTTAAAAGCAACGTTGCAGTTTCTTGTTTCATGCCATCGTTCCTTGAATTTCACAAGGGAATGTTCTTTAATTAGGTCTGCCACTACCAATGTTATCAGTCCAATAGAAGGGCCAGGTTTCAAAAGTATTTGGTTGGCTGCTATCTAGGCTAGTGAATCAGTAAGACAGTTACCTTTCGATGTGGCGTGACCTTTGATCCATCTTAATTAAGTTGATCACATTGTTGATAGATACTTTCGAACAAAGCTTCAAGACATTCTAGTACTAACCCTGAGTAACTTCGTAGTCTGTTCAGGGTAGTTCAGATTAGTGCTTGCTTATCCATGTAGATTAACATGTTCTTTCCAGTGATATTGTTTCTGATGATTTATTTTGCTGCTATGAGAATCACGTGAGGTCTGTTTGAACTACACTGGCACTATTGCTCACAGCCCATTTTATGTTTAGGATTAAGGTTCTTGAGTATATTCGACATCCTGAGCCTTATTTTGTTTTAGAACCGTAGAATTGTACCTGCCACGAAAAAATCCACCATCAAGATTTTTTTTTTTTTAACAAATGATTGTATAATTATGAAAATGTAGAGTGCAAAATGGGATTGTTTTACATTATTGGTTTTTTTTCTGATCCTACACATAACTGGGACTATTACATTAGTAATGTGGTATTTTTAAAGTATTCTTGAAAAGAGGAAAAAATAAAACATATTTTTTAAACTACTGTAATGTTACCCCGAATAATGAACTTTTTTCTTTACGATTAAAAGGACCTAACAGATACGAAGACGATTCTGTTATGGTTTGAAATATTAGTGATGGTAAATGATAAGTATACACAACGTGACTATGCGGGATAATCCCGCTTCTTAGCTATGTGTACCCACTGTTCCCAAAGAACTCAAAATTATCTCGCTTTGAAAAAAGGATATCTGTGGAAAAAAATTCTATCAAGACTGTTTTCTCATCTGAATAGGGACTAGTGAGAATACAAGGGTAACATAAACAAGTCGTATTAAGTTTCATTCATATTTAAAAACCAAAATATAGAACATATTAATTCTATTCTCCTTTTCTAACTTTTGATAATTTGATAAATAAATATGAAACAATAGGAATTTCACTTATTGTTAATAATTTGTTTTATTATAGTCTACTAACAGCGGGTTGCAACAACGATCGTTAAATATCTAATGACTCGTTAAACCCAAATCTTTTACTAAAGGTGTAGTACGGGTTGCATTCTTCTGTTAATTTTTAACGACGACGTGAACTGGCAACGTCGCTTTCTCTGTCAGCTCTGCTCGTCATTTACTTTGACAGATTGAATCTTTACTGAATAATATTTTAGAATTTTTCAATTTTCCAGCCAATTTATGTGAGTGTCGAGAGGTACTTTGAATATATATTATAAAAGTTCAATTTGAGTTCGTTTAGTTGAAGTATTATAATGGTTGACAAAAAAAAAACGCAAGCAATTTACTGCTACAGATAGAAGAAAAACCACTTGGTAAGTAAATTAATAATAAGTACATAAAATTCCTTCAAAAATATTCACTTTATTACATACTTAATTTGTATGTCCAACTACATTTTTGGGGTTAAAATTTTAGGTAAATTGCTAAGAAGTTGTATTGGCCAAAATACTAATTAGAAATAACTAGCTTTTATTAAATATAAAACTGATACAAGGAAATCTAAAAGTGAGATACAACAAAAAGAAAACTAAACTTTACAAGAGGTTAAATAGAAGGCGAGACAGGACAAGGTTCGTATTTTTTTTGTCTCATTTCAAAGGACACTTATTATACATAACATATTTGTACACCCACCCTTCTGGGACAGTTACATTAATATACTTACCTTCTATATAGTATAGAATATTGTGCCTTCTTAGTAACAAAAGAAAACATTTATTTGAAATCAAAATAAAAATTTATGCAGTAATATATTTAAAGTTAATTTTCTAAGCAAAGTACCTATAATAATAATGTTATTTAACAGAAATTTTATATTTTAAAAGATTAATTTATAGGATTTTAATTTAAACAGAAATTAAATCACTTTTATATATACAATATAAAACTTCTTTTGTATGTGTTATTATTTATACAATTTTAGCAATATCTGTCTTTTCCCATTTTAAAGATTATTCAAACTACTTAAGTTAAAAAAAAAAATAAAATTGGAAATAACTAACGTTTAGTATTAATTTTGTTTATTTAAATTATTTCCTTATTTGTTTAAGGGTTATAAACGAGAAGGAGACATGGTTAATCTTCAACTTGAGATAGGCTCAAATTAAAGCATTTTTTTATAATCAAATAGAGTCCCCATTGATTCCACTGCTGCATTCTTTGGTAAGAAAGTATTTTATTTAAACTTAGCTGTTTTATTATACATGGTGGTCAAAATTCGACGCTTTTACATGATACAACTAGATATCGAAACCTTATAACCCACCATTCTTAACTTTTTTGAGAAATAAAACATGGAATGCTTAGTTATGTTATAAATCCATTTTAGAAGCTATAGGGTGATTTTCTAATTTTATCATAATTTATTATCTCAAATAAATATCTTATTTTCAAAAACAATTTAATAATTTGACATAGTTACATATGTAAAATCCATTGTCATACTCTTATTATTTTTTCAAGGGGTACAAATTTTCAAGATAATACCATTTACCATTTTTTATTTGAACACCCAAACAAAATAATGATATTTTAAAAATCACGCTTACATTTTACTTAGGGGAGGAATTTATAACGGGATATAAAATAACATGTTTAGTTTAAAAAAAAGGTGAGATCAAATGTGCTTTATCCCCTGCTAATTTAGTAATATCTTATAAACCTGTCAAATTTGGACCATCCTGTATAATTATCACAAATACTTTGTATGTTGGTAAGAAAATTAGTGCAATATGAAGACAAATTTGGAATTGAAGGGAACTTTTACATATTTTAGTAAAGTATAACTGTAGGTTTAATTAGGTTCTTGCATTGCAATAAATAATTACACGAGTCCTAGTTAACTGCAGCTAAATATCATCGTTGAATCTCTATGTAGGTTCGAGTTATAACTTCTTCAATGATGAATTTCCTATAAATTTTGTTATATCATTATATTTCGGAACATACTTTTAAGAGCTCTAGAATAATATGTATTTATTTATTATTCTGTAGGTGCACGAATCAATAATTGATATTATGCCTCTTTTCAGTGGAGTCTCCGTAGCTGCTTCTCCTAGTAGTCTCTTCACTCCCAAGGAATCTACTAAACCCTTGCCTGGTCCAAGTAGACTCTTCTGGTCCCCCTGCACAGACTCTCAAGCAAAAACACAGTTAAAAAAGGAAAACTTTGTAACACAACAAAATTAAAAATATTGTTGTATGGACCACTAATCTTGAAACAAGACAGGCTTGGCTCACAAATAAAACTTTAAAATATCTATACTGCCCCAGTAACTACACAAACTATAGAATGAAGATATATGCAATAAAATAAATTTATTAGTGCCAGTATTTTGATATGTGTTACCAATATAGCTGCTTTTGTTGAATTAAAGACAAGTTTTGAATAATGTTAACTAGTTATATAAATAAGTGTGATTTAATGTTTTGGGTTGATTTTTGATAAGAATTCTCTAGAAAAATGTTAGTTACATTGTAGAATTAAGTTGACTTTTTAGGATACAGAATAAAAATTGCTGGTATTTTGTTTACTTTTTAAAAAGAAAAATGGGTTAGTATCAGAATGGTCAAATAACCTCAAATATTTGTAATTTGTCAGTTATGGGGGTTTGGCTTATGACGGAGGTATAGCCTTGTAGCAATATATTTTTATTTTTAAATAGGCATTACTTTGTAGTAATATAGGTGTTTGTTAAGTATTTTAAAATATTTCATGAGATGATAGCATGAATAATTTTAAGTCATATAACTGTGAAGCTTGGTATCTCTACTTATATTGTTAAAAACTTTTTAATTCGTATAAATGTTATGTATTTATACATTCTCATTATTCTCAACCATATTTAATATTATTTTATAGTTTTTTCCTGCCTATTTTCAGAAAAAGTAAATATTTAGCAGTAAACTACTATCAGTAATAACATTTTTATTGTTTGTACCTATGTTGAAATAATCCATTTC